ACCAAACGGACTACGTGTGTCGACCAAACGGACTACGTGTGTCGACCAAACGGACTACGTGTGTTGACCAAACGGACTACGTGTGTTGACCAAACGGACTACGTGTGTTGACCAAACGGACTACGTGTGTCGACCAAACGGACTACGTGTGTTGACCAAACGGACTACGTGTGTTGACCAAACGGACTACGTGTGTTGACCAAACGGACTACGTGTGTTGACCAAACGGACTACGTGTGTCGACCAAACGGACTACGTGTGTTGACCAAACGGACTACGTGTGTCGACCAAACAGACTACGTGTGTTGACCAAACGGACTACGTGTGTTGACCAAACGGACTACGTGTGTTGACCAAACGGACTACGTGTGTTGACCAAACGGACTACGTGTGTCGACCAAACGGACTACGTGTGTTGACCAAACGGACTACGTGTGTTGACCAAACGGACTACGTGTGTCGACCAAACGGACTACGTGTGTCGACCAAACGGACTACGTGTGTTGACCAAACGGACTACGTGTGTTGACCAAACGGACTACGTGTGTTGACCAAACGGACTACGTGTGTCGACCAAACGGACTACGTGTGTTGACCAAACGGACTACGTGTGTCGACCAAACGGACTACGTGTGTCGACCAAACGGACTACGTGTGTCGACCAAACGGACTACGTGTGTTGACCAAACGGACTACGTGTGTTGACCAAACGGACTACGTGTGTTGACCAAACGGACTACGTGTGTTGACCAAACGGACTACGTGTGTTGACCAAACGGACTACGTGTGTTGACCAAACGGACTACGTGTGTTGACCAAACGGACTACGTGTGTTGACCAAACGGACTACGTGTGTTGACCAAACGGACTACGTGTGTTGACCAAACGGACTACGTGTGTTGACCAAACGGACTACGTGTGTCGACCAAACGGACTACGTGTGTTGACCAAACGGACTACGTGTGTCGACCAAACGGACTACGTGTGTTGACCAAACGGACTACGTGTGTTGACCAAACGGACTACGTGTGTTGACCAAACGGACTACGTGTGTTGACCAAACGGACTACGTGTGTCGACCAAACGGACTACGTGTGTTGACCAAACGGACTACGTGTGTTGACCAAACGGACTACGTGTGTCGACCAAACGGACTACGTGTGTCGACCAAACGGACTACGTGTGTCGACCAAACGGACTACGTGTGTTGACCAAACGGACTACGTGTGTTGACCAAACGGACTACGTGTGTTGACCAAACGGACTACGTGTGTCGACCAAACGGACTACGTGTGTTGACCAAACGGACTACGTGTGTCGACCAAACGGACTACGTGTGTCGACCAAACGGACTACGTGTGTCGACCAAACGGACTACGTGTGTTGACCAAACGGACTACGTGTGTTGACCAAACGGACTACGTGTGTTGACCAAACGGACTACGTGTGTTGACCAAACGGACTACGTGTGTTGACCAAACGGACTACGTGTGTTGACCAAACGGACTACGTGTGTTGACCAAACGGACTACGTGTGTTGACCAAACGGACTACGTGTGTTGACCAAACGGACTACGTGTGTTGACCAAACGGACTACGTGTGTCGACCAAACGGACTACGTGTGTGACCAAACGGACTACGTGTGTCTGACCAAACGGACTACGTGTGTTGACCAAACGGACTACGTGTGTCGACCAAACGGACTACGTGTGTCGACCAAACGGACTACGTGTGTTGACCAAACGGACTACGTGTGTTGACCAAACGGACTACGTGTGTTGACCAAACGGACTACGTGTGTTGACCAAACGGACTACGTGTGTCGACCAAACGGACTACGTGTGTTGACCAAACGGACTACGTGTGTTGACCAAACGGACTACGTGTGTCGACCAAACGGACTACGTGTGTCGACCAAACGGACTACGTGTGTTGACCAAACGGACTACGTGTGTTGACCAAACGGACTACGTGTGTTGACCAAACGGACTACGTGTGTTGACCAAACGGACTACGTGTGTTGACCAAACGGACTACGTGTGTCGACCAAACGGACTACGTGTGTCGACCAAACGGACTACGTGTGTCGACCAAACGGACTACGTGTGTTGACCAAACGGACTACGTGTGTTGACCAAACGGACTACGTGTGTTGACCAAACGGACTACGTGTGTCGACCAAACGGACTACGTGTGTTGACCAAACGGACTACGTGTGTCGACCAAACGGACTACGTGTGTCGACCAAACGGACTACGTGTGTCGACCAAACGGACTACGTGTGTTGACCAAACGGACTACGTGTGTCGACCAAACGGACTACGTGTGTTGACCAAACGGACTACGTGTGTTGACCAAACGGACTACGTGTGTTGACCAAACGGACTACGTGTGTCGACCAAACGGACTACGTGTGTTGACCAAACGGACTACGTGTGTTGACCAAACGGACTACGTGTGTTGACCAAACGGACTACGTGTGTCGACCAAACGGACTACGTGTGTCGACCAAACGGACTACGTGTGTTGACCAAACGGACTACGTGTGTTGACCAAACGGACTACGTGTGTCGACCAAACGGACTACGTGTGTCGACCAAACGGACTACGTGTGTTGACCAAACGGACTACGTGTGTTGACCAAACGGACTACGTGTGTCGACCAAACGGACTACGTGTGTCGACCAAACGGACTACGTGTGTGGACCAAACGGACTACGTGTGTTGACCAAACGGACTACGTGTGTCGACCAAACGGACTACGTGTGTCGACCAAACGGACTACGTGTGTTGACCAAACGGACTACGTGTGTCGACCAAACGGACTACGTGTGTTGACCAAACGGACTACGTGTGTCGACCAAACGGACTACGTGTGTTGACCAAACGGACTACGTGTGTTGACCAAACGGACTACGTGTGTTGACCAAACGGACTACGTGTGTTGACCAAACGGACTACGTGTGTCGACCAAACGGACTACGTGTGTCGACCAAACGGACTACGTGTGTCGACCAAACGGACTACGTGTGTTGACCAAACGGACTACGTGTGTTGACCAAACGGACTACGTGTGTTGACCAAACGGACTACGTGTGTTGACCAAACGGACTACGTGTGTCGACCAAACGGACTACGTGTGTTGACCAAACGGACTACGTGTGTTGACCAAACGGACTACGTGTGTTGACCAAACGGACTACGTGTGTCGACCAAACGGACTACGCGTGTCGACCAAACGGACTACGTGTGTTGACCAAACGGACTACGTGTGTCGACCAAACGGACTACGTGTGTCGACCAAACGGACTACGTGTGTCGACCAAACGGACTACGTGTGTTGACCAAACGGACTACGTGTGTTGACCAAACGGACTACGTGTGTTGACCAAACGGACTACGTGTGTCGACCAAACGGACTACGTGTGTCGACCAAACGGACTACGTGTGTTGACCAAACGGACTACGTGTGTTGACCAAACGGACTACGTGTGTTGACCAAACGGACTGCGTGTGTCGACCAAACGGACTACGTGTGTCGACCAAACGGACTACGTGTGTCGACCAAACGGACTACGTGTGTTGACCAAACGGACTACGTGTGTTGACCAAACGGACTACGTGTGTCGACCAAACGGACTACGTGTGTCGACCAAACGGACTACGTGTGTCGACCAAACGGACTACGTGTGTTGACCAAACGGACTACGTGTGTTGACCAAACGGACTACGTGTGTCGACCAAACGGACTACGTGTGTCGACCAAACGGACTACGTGTGTCGACCAAACGGACTACGTGTGTTGACCAAACGGACTACGTGTGTTGACCAAACGGACTACGTGTGTTGACCAAACGGACTACGTGTGTTGACCAAACGGACTACGTGTGTCGACCAAACGGACTACGTGTGTTGACCAAACGGACTACGTGTGTTGACCAAACGGACTACGTGTGTTGACCAAACGGACTACGTGTGTTGACCAAACGGACTACGTGTGTCGACCAAACGGACTACGTGTGTCGACCAAACGGACTACGTGTGTGACCAAACGGACTACGTGTGTTGACCAAACGGACTACGTGTGTTGACCAAACGGACTACGTGTGTTGACCAAACGGACTACGTGTGTTGACCAAACGGACTACGTGTGTCGACCAAACGGACTACGTGTGTCGACCAAACGGACTACGTGTGTCGACCAAACGGACTACGTGTGTTGACCAGACGGACTACGTGTGTTGACCAAACGGACTACGTGTGTTGACCAAACGGACTACGTGTGTTGACCAGACGGACTACGTGTGTTGACCAAACGGACTACGTGTGTCGACCAAACGGACTACGTGTGTTGACCAAACGGACTACGTGTGTCGACCAAACGGACTACGTGTGTTGACCAAACGGACTACGTGTGTTGACCAAACGGACTACGTGTGTTGACCAAACGGACTACGTGTGTCGACCAAACGGACTACGTGTGTTGACCAAACGGACTACGTGTGTTGACCAAACGGACTACGTGTGTTGACCAAACGGACTACGTGTGTTGACCAAACGGACTACGTGTGTCGACCAAACGGACTACGTGTGTTGACCAAACGGACTACGTGTGTCGACCAAACGGACTACGTGTGTCGACCAAACGGACTACGTGTGTCGACCAAACGGACTACGTGTGTTGACCAAACGGACTACGTGTGTTGACCAAACGGACTACGTGTGTCGACCAAACGGACTACGTGTGTTGACCAAACGGACTACGTGTGTTGACCAAACGGACTACGTGTGTTGACCAAACGGACTACGTGTGTTGACCAAACGGACTACGTGTGTTAACCAAACGGACTACGTGTGTTGACCAAACGGACTACGTGTGTCGACCAAACGGACTACGTGTGTCGACCAAACGGACATTAAGAAAATGTTGTTGACCACGCTAGATGCTGAAAGCATAGCATATTAACCACACTGACTTATTAGCATAGTAACAACACACCTGCCGCATTTCATGTAAAAGGCACAGTCGACGTCGTCCTATTGGGTAGGGTAGGGTAGGCAGGCAGGCATGCACGGCGCGCCAGGTAGCATGCAATGAGGGGCAACGGAAGGATGGATGGAGGCAATATGAGCGTGTTGGGTTGCAGGTGGGAGGAGAGCAGAGGTCATGGAGTGACAGAGATGGTGGGAGCAGGGCCATGGGGAACGGTACGAGGGATGGATGGAGAGAGAGGGGGGACGCGGCACGGGGGTGGGGGTGATGGGGAGAGGGGTCTGTAGAGGAGCAAGTGCGAGCGAGGGAGGTTCGGAAAGAGAGCGAACATAGCTGTCCAAACACACACATGCCAGCACACACATGCCAGCGCACACATGCCAATGCACACATGCCAATGCACACATGCCAATGCACACATGCCAATGCACACATGCCCCTAGGAGGAGCACTTACAGGTCGAAGTGGGAACCCCCGGGAGTTTAGCAACACATGACCATGATACAGCATGGCCCTCATTGCACTCCGACCACCACCCCCTCCTCCTCCTCCTCCTCCTCCCCCTCCAACTCCACCTCCCGCTCCCCCTTCCTCCCCTCCTCCCCCCACTCCTCCTCCTCCTCCCCTGCCTACCACACCATTAGCACCCCCACTAACGCCATTACTCTCCAACACACCACCACCAACCCCTCTTCCTCCTCTTCCTTCCCCTCCCGCTAGCATAACCCGAACACGCTCGCCCAGCAGAGAATCACCCATTACAGCGCTAACGAGGGGCGGCGGCGACGGGGTATTGGACCTCCGAATGTTACCATGGTTATGGTTAAGGTTACCACCGCCGCTCATACCACCCCCGTAGTCCCTCTCTAGATGCATGACACGTGTACGGTTGGGATTACTGTCGTCACTGGCAGCAGAGAGTGCAGCACAGGCGACAGAAGCAGAGACGGCAGCAGCAGAGGCAAGGTCCATAGCAGAGGGGGACCGGCCCCACCCAGGGGAGGTGGTATCTGGGGAGAACTGGAACTGATGCTGCTGCTGCTCCCTTTGTTGCCCCTGGAGGTGCTGCTGCTGTTGCTGCATCTGTTGCTGTTGGTGCTGCTGCTGGCGTTGCTGCTGCTGGTAATGAAACAGCTGCTGCTGCTGCTGCTGCTGCTGCTGCTGCTGCTGCTGCTGCTGCTGCTGCTGCTGCTGCTGCTGCTGCTGCTGCTGCTGCTGCTGCTGCTGCTCCTGCAGCAGCTGCTGCCTCTGATACTGATACTGCTGCGGCGGCGAGTGTTGCTCAAGAGAATTAGCATGTGCAAACGGCGGCGGCGGTGCCACTCCTCCTCTCAGCATGGAGCTTACAGTAGTTGCATCAGGAGGAGGTGGAGGCGGCGAAACAAACGACATCAGAGCTTCGTTGCGCTCACGCTCACCCCTGTTCGTCAAGCCATCTCCAGCCTGGAAACTCCGGATATTATCACCACTGGTAAAATCACACTCCCCCGAGCCATATGTGGATTTAGCAAAGGCGGTGTGAGTGTAGGAGGAGGGTTGAGACGGGCGGTCTTGGCAGTAGGGGTTTGACCTTAACTGCGAGGCTTGGCTTAGCGCTGCTGCTATGGCTGCTGCTTCTGATACAGCAGCAGCTGTGCGTGATGCTGCTGCTGCTGCCGCTGCTGCTGCTACTGCTGCTTCCTCTGCTGATTCTGTTGAAGACGCTGCTGACACGGCTCGCCCTCCCACTGCTATTGCTGCTGGTTCAGGGGTGCCAGGATTAGAGTGGATATTCGTGTGGGAAGGGTACATAATATCGTGTGGTTGGTTTGAGGAACGCTTTTGAGTCGACTCAAAAGCAGGTTCAGAGGTGCCAGCGTTAGAGTGGATATTCATCCCGGAAGGATATGTAAGATCGTGTCGTTGGTTCGAAGAACGGGAGTGCGAGTGCGAGAAGTGAGATGTCTCGAAACTTGAAGAATGGTGCTGGGGAGGGCGAAGCGTGTCAAGACTTGAGGAGTGGTGATGGGGGTTACGGCTTGGGTATTCTTTGAGTTGTGTTGCCTGGTGCATTGGAAGGGTGTGGTTTACGTGGTGGGAGAGGTATGGTGCCGAACCAGTCGGGCCTTGGTCCGGGAAAGAATGGGTGGATAGGCTCGGGAAGCTGAAGGGACGGTCCTGGAGGGATGGCGCCTGGAGGGGGGGGATATCGAGTCATTGAGGGAGGGAGGGAAGGAAGGAAGGACAGAATGAAGGAAGGAAGAAAGGAAGAAACGAGGAAGGAAGAAAGAAAAGGGAACGATGAGAGGCACGGAAGGAGGGAAACATGTGATTTAATTGGTGGCAAATACCCAAGCCGCAGGGAGCGGGCATGCGAACTTCGATATGCGTTAAGGGGGGAAACGAGGTCGAGGGAGCACAGTGAGGAGGGAAGAATTGATGATATGGTAGGATATGATCGCAGGAGGGTCAGTGACATGGGTTGTGCGCATCGTGAGACAGTCTCGCAATGCTACATGAATGCATACATGTGCGTTGCACACATTATCCGTGCCTTGGCGTTAACATTTACAGGCTGAAGGACACGGAGAGATGCGATGGCGCTGAGAAGAAAGCTTGGAAAGAGAGTGACAATAGTCGCACCACGCGCCATGGATCATGCCCCATGCACCATCCACGAAGCGTCATGGATCATACACCATGCATGCATGATGGATCATGCGACGTGCATCATGCATCATGAATCATGCGCCTTGCACCATGCATCATACATCATGCATCATGGATCGTGCGCCATGCACCATGCACCATGCGAAATGAACCATGCATCATACACCATGCATGCATCATGGATCATGTACCATGCACTATGCATCGTGCAATCATGGTTCATGCGCCATGCATCATGCATCATGCATCATGCACCATGCACCATGCATCATGCATGCATCATGCATGCACCATGAATTATGCACCATGCAGCATTGATCATGCATTATTCCTCATGCATCATGCACCATGGGTCATGGATCCTGGATCATGGATCATGCCCCATACACGATGTATTGCGTAGTACCTGCGTCAACAATCCATGAGCAGACAACCCGTCTCCTCGAAACTCCGATTCGCTGTGCTTCAAAAGAGAGTGCATCATCGGCGGGGAGTGCTGTAGCGCGGAATGCTGCAGCGCGGAGTGCGCCTGCGGGGGCGTGTGGCGCACGGAGGCCTCCAGGTGACGCTGAGAAGCGGAATCAGCGGGCGGGCGCATCATGGTGTGCGCTAGATGCGCGGAGGAGAGCGGATACGACGGCGGGGGAAACGCTGCTTGGGGCAGGGGACGGAGAGAAAGGGGAAAAGAAGGGAAAAGGGGAGGCAGATGGCGGAATGGATGTATTGAGAAGGCGGGAAGGCGGGGAAGGGAAGGGAAGGAGCCAAAACGGTATGACATTGAAATACTAATACAACTGTCACACTATTACTAGTCCCGTCCCACTAGCCAAAGCAACTACTAGAACTAGCAGAAAAACAGGAAGGCTTTACTCGAAGGAGCAGAACGAGAGCAGAATGACACGTTCTGGAGCAACGGAGCTGAGCGAACATGCTGGATCGAAAAGTGAACGGGTATAAGAGACTACTCGTATTACTAGCACCATACCCATCATTCCATGATGGCATGACAGTAAAAAAAGACACATCTGAAGCAGTGGTCGTAATCAGGAGCGGCATAGCAGATGGGTACTAGCGAGACGAGTCGTATTTCTTCTTACTACCCACAACATGGTCATCGCGACGCAGGAAATCCCTTGACGCCGCTCGAGGCTGGTTAGTACTATGAGTCGACTCAATTACTCGTCTTCTTCTTACACGTCATAAGATGATCACGCAGATCCCTGGATCCAGGCTGGTTAGTATTCCCGCCACGATCAACAGAGGCGGCGCCGGCGCCTTGCGCGCCGTGCCGGGAATAGTAGTAATCCGCGGCGGAGTCGTCGTGCGAGTCGGCCCGACGGGAGTCGGAGTCCGTGACGCAGCCTCCATCGATCGGCGCGATTCGCGCTGGTGCCATAGTCCATTGATCGATTTCTTGAGCGGCTTGCGCGTCTCCTCCTGCTATGATCATGCGAACATGCGATGCTTGCGACGACTGCGACAGATGCTCCGACCGTTGGCGCGCCTGTTTCCCGCCCACGTGCTCCTGTCCTTGCACCACGTGCGGCGACAGTTGCGGGGACACAAGATCGAGATTTTGTCCCATGTGGTGGTAGTGCTGCTGCTGCTGCTGCTGCTGCTGATTCTGCAGCGGTTGATTCGAGAGTTGCAGGGTTGGGAGCACCGCGGAACTTTGGGATTCGGCGAATGGCGCCGCGGCGGAGTTTTCAAGGGGGTCGCAGCTGGCGGCGGCATGATGGAAAGCGGCGCGCAGCTGGAAGCGGAACGTCGCGTCCATGGCGTGATGCCGCGTGCCGCGGCTGCCGCCGCCGCCGCCGCCGCCGCCGCCGCTGCTGTCGCTGCAACTGCTACAGAAGTAGTAATAATCCAGAAACAGAATTCAATGCTTCAACTAATGTCGCGGTTCCTAGATGCGAGCCGCGTACCGTGTGATGGATGGGGTGGAACTACAAGGTATGGCTATCTGCACTCGTTGGATCGAAAATTTAAAATTAGCGCAGCCGACGTCATGCGATTCGTGTCGCGACGAGAGAAGGCGATGTCATGTGAGTCAAACTGTATCCAAGTCGAAACAAAAGCGGCGGCATCATATGTTAATCGCCAGGTGGTCGGGATTTGTCGCACGTCACGCGATGAATATTGACGTTTTTTTAATGCTGCGACCGACACTCTACTCCCGGAATATTGAGTTACGAAATCTAGGCCGACGCTGGGAGAAATAGCGATAGACGATTTGCCAACTCGGAAGGACGCCTCAGCCGCCGCGACTGCAGGGAATCTTTAATCGTGCATGGCGATTATTTTCAAGATAATGGGTTATCCCCTCCCATCGAATCAGTTCTTGCGGAGGGTTTATGCACTAAGCTCTAGAAGCAGTCTTCCTCTTTCGCCATTTTTTTACCTTCACACGCAGCAGGGTTTTGGCAAGGGGCACTTGGAGATATGGAGGATGAAGTGAGATGTAGTTGTTTCTATGAGAGTTGGCGTTGTCGAACGCGTCTCCTGCATTTGGTACACAGAGGTGGCTGGCGGCAGACTGTGCGGTGTGCGTGCGAGAGACACAGGCAGGAGTGAAGCGTTCTTGCTGGTGTATGGGAATGGGAAGATTGGCAGTGCACAGGCGGTGCTGGAGGGAGTCGGTCATCCATGCTGTGAGTTTGGGCGGCTCAATTCGGGATTCCAGTTGGAATCGCCAATTGCTTTGGATACGAGGTAACGAACGGGAGAGGATAAAACATTATGGTATTGAATGTAACAAATACAGTACAGTTTTGGCCAAAACACTTAGACATGCTTTTTACTGCACCATCCAATCTGACTCAGCTGATTGGTTGCATTCCGCTGGCTGTTGTTCAATGCTCTACAGAAGGTGGGCATGGGATGGGATAAACCACCATCCCAGAAATTCGACCTCAGTGAAAAAGCGATGCAGAACGGGGTTGTTGCGATAGCGACCCAATCCCGACAAGAACTTGCGCTCACTCACGCTGGTTGACCTCTCGGTGCTCTAAAAGGTCACTCGCCCTACAAGCCGCCAAAATTACACGGATGACATCACATGGGCCCTCTCCATAATCCATTCAATGTCCGCGTGATATGGTGCGCGGGTTTGGCGACCATGCCACCATCAGGGCTGACCAGGAGGTCACAATCGTGGCAAGAGGTTCATCGAAATCTTCATTCTGTACCCAATCCCACCACCTCTGATAAACTATAAAAACTAATTTAAACCGTAATCAACCCTTTTGGCCCGATCATAACTGCGTTCGAATCAGAAACTCGCGCTTCAAATGCTTGAGAAAGATTTTGGCTCTGCTTCACCAGACCAAAGCAACGAGATTGGTCTGGCAAAATCTGTCAAATCAAATTTTCTCGGTCCAAGCCGCGGACCATGCGGAAGGCTTGAAAGTGTAACCGCGTGATCCTGCAGCCAAAAGTGAGATGGCCCAGATACAAATGGTTTTGGTTATAGTCCTACGGAATGACAAGCCGCGCGCGGACTATGTGCGAAAACCTTCAAACCCTGGGACAAAACGGGAAACTTATAGTCCCGTTTCAGGGATATAGCATGCAGAGCGGTTTGTTTGCTAATAGTTTTTGTTTTTTGTGTTTGCATAGATTCGGAACGAGCATCCTGAAGTCTCCCAGCTAGTTAGATGTGGCACTTCCGAAGGGTGAGGTCCCAGGATCAAATCCCCCGTGCGGCGTGTGCTCAGCCAGCCCCCCAGAAGGGGGTTTCGGACGTGCTCATCTTGGGAGTGGATATGACTACATCGTCACCCAGCGAGGCCGTGTAAACAAATGGGTAGGCAGGTTACGACCGACAGCCGGGGTAAAACCAAAGGGGGTTCCCCCCTACCTTTACCTAAAAAAAAAAAAAAAACACAAAAAAAACAAAAAAAAATCAGAACGAGCTTGCTTCAACTTCTTGTCGCACGGTTCCCCGCGAGACAAAACAAAACAAAATCAATTATGGTTTGGGGCATGAATAGAAGGTAAAAACTTTTGTTTTACCCTATAAGCGAGATAAATGAGATGTCATCGTCGACGAGCCCGTTGCGGACTGCGCGATAGGATTAAGGAGTAAGCATGGCCTAGAGAAAAAAATATCTACAATTACAAAGTTAGATATCAAATCGAGGATCCATTCTTCATCATTTACCCTGAATGTTGGGTTGGTTCGATCTGGGCCCAGTGATTGGCTGCAGAGCTGATTCGTGCAATGATTCAGTCAAGATGCAAATTTTGTAGCCAAAAAATGGACCGTAAGGGTCGGGCTATACCTAGGCGATATCGGAAAATTCTACTTAAGTGGGAAAGGGGAATCTTTTAGCGAGGGCCTCTAACCCGGAAAATTCGTATGTGAACTATACAAAGCGTTGCACAGCCACAATTCATTTGAATCGAAGGTTGTTTTGGCTACACGAATGCTTAACATGGTGCCGAAAATTGGGGCACAATGTGCATATTTAGTTAATAATAGGTCGGCCGTCATGCCACGACATGTATTGGCTTGTGAGGTACCCTTAAACATTTTTGGTTGCAGGAGAATCAATGCGACAAACCCACTGTCTCGTAACTTCGTGGAAGTACCATATGCGCAAACAATGTTAAGCAACCTGGAAACGCAAACTCGGGCATAGTTATAACCTCACGGCAGACCGCAGAATCACATCAATATCATATGCAAATTTGAACAAGACATACATCCCCATCTTCATATGCGATACGTTACTAATTTCACCATGATTATCAATTACAACCCTACAGGATTGAGCACATTACGATAATTTTGGTAGGAGTTGTAAAAAAAAAAAACATCAAGAACGACCAATAGTCTCGTTAATGCTTTCATGACAACCCACTAGAAACTTCTGGTTATTAAATAAACCAGGGTCGCATACGTCCTAATGTCAAGCCATTAGGAGTAATTAGCAAACTCATCCACTACGGCCGTAGCTTCGAGGAGCCCCTTATGTGAGCCACCCATGTACCACGTATTCGCAGCTTTGGGATGCAGTATTCATCGGAGGCGATTGATAATATTTGATTGTGGGTGCACCAGCGCGTTCTAACAGTGCCCTCATGGCAAACAGGCATGACAAATCACGTGTGCTCACGTGTGCTGCGCGCGTGTAGCTAATTAGACTGAACCGCACGTGCCGCAGACCCTGTCGTTTGATACATTCCTCGATCATGGGCGGAATAATGAATGAAAGTTTGTGTGGCTCATAAGTTGTGAAAGAACGAGGAAATGGATGCACTAGGAAACAGGTGGGTACAAGTGGGAAAACCTAAAGGTGTTGTACCCTATATTGTCAACCCCACTACAGCCTACACAGACTATAGCATATAAGTTTGACACACCCCCATAGGCAAAGTGGGGGAGAACAAGAGGTCACAAGACCAGTCAAGCAAAGCACAGTAAGCTCAGGGTGGATCACAACGTCACCACACATTCCGAGCACAAGTTCAAGGCCACAAGGCCAGTTCACATGCAAGATTATATATAAAGGTAAACAAGCAAGTGCAGGTATAGATGGATCACAGTACAAGCAAGGTCAAGCAGTGAGCAAGTGAGGCCAAGTAGGCACAAGACCTAGCATCATACAAAAGCGCTGATGATCACAAGGCGGAAGTGCCTTGGTAAAGATATCAGCAGTGTTGGCCTCAGAGGCCACGTAAGCAAGGCGCAGCTGACCACGCTGCTGCAGCTCACGAGCAAGGAAGTAGCGAAGAGCAATGTGCTTCGTTCTGTGCTCTAGTCTGTGCTCTCGACACAAGGCCAGCATGGCCTTGTTGTCTACGTACAGCACTGGAGGAGAACGAGGCGGCTCTCCTAGGTCAGTCAGCAGGTAGGTGAGCCAGCGTAGCTCCTGTGCAGCCATGGCCCCCGTGTAGATCTCAGCCTCACAGCTGGAGCCGAGAACAGAAGACGAGCGGGTAGACCGCTACGAAACAGAGCCGGAACCAAGGCTGAAGTTGTAACCCTGTGACGACCACTGCGTAGCCTGGTCGTCTGCCCAAGAAGCGTCTGCGTGACCTGTGAGGACCACTGAACGCCGCCCTCCAAGCACTAGCCCCATGCCCGACGTACTGCACAAGTAGCGCAACACCCTCTTCGCTGCAGCCATGTGCTCTGGTCGGTGTCTCCCAGGAGCAACATAGCGTGCCAAGATGCTAAGAGGGTATGCAAGGTCAGGTCGAGTGCAGGTCATCAGGTACATGAGGCAGCCAACAAGCTCTGGGTACGGGCCACTCGGCTCTACGGACTCATCCGAAGGCAGAGCTGAGAGCGAGTGGCGAGTAGACAGAGGAGTGGCCTGAGGCGAGGAGTACGTGAAGTCGAAGCGCTGAAGGACCTGCTGCACCATGTGTGACTGAGTCAGGGTAATGGTGCGCTGTGCTCTGTCCCGGGTGATCTGCAAGCCAAGGTAGCTGCGCAGTTCACCCAGGTCTGTGCACGTGTGTCTCTTCTGCAGCTCGGACTTCACGTGGGCGAGTCCAGCAGTGACAGCAGTGGCAAAGACCAAGTCGTCGACGTACACGAGGATGTAGAACGGCGGCAAAGAGGTGTCGGTGCGTAGAAACAGCGACGGGTCGGCAGTAGAAGGAGCAAAGCCAAGAGCCGCAAGTGTAGTCCTCAGTGTGTCGTGCCACTCACGGGGCGCCTGGCGGAGACCGTAGACTGGCCGCCGGAGGCTCCACTGGGTACCAGGAGGAAACGACCCAGTGAAGCCAGGTGGGCGGCGCAGCCAGATCTCCTCGTGCAGGCTG